GTGAGATTTATACGATGCGACGTGACTAACGACAAAGAGTTGTTTGGGGCATACAAAGTGTTTAACTAAAACCATGGTGAGATTGGTTTAGTTGTCAACAATGCTGGTGTGGCTCAAGAAATGGTTGGAATGTTTCTGCGTTTCCAATTCCTATTGAAACGGCTGAGTGAATCTTTGAGATAAAAACACCGTGTAAGTTTCTTTATATTTGAGTATTTTTTCACCGCCTAGTTTCAATTATTTAGTTGGGAATATAAATATTTAGATTATATTTTTTTATTATTGTGTGCTTTAATCATCACAAGTTTCACAATTTTTATTAATATTAAAATGTGATAGTTGATTAAAAAAACACATTTAATAAAATATATATAATCACTTTGATTATTACTGACGAGCGACCCGCCCCGGCTTCACTACACCCACAGTTAGTGCAACAACAAACACACTAGTTCGCCCTGCGCGAGACTGTTCGCGAGACCAACACAACGCGTACACAAGGTACACCCGCGTTCCGGGGCGATTCTCACCGCTCCCAGCCACCGATTAGCTAATTGCACAGTCGACGGCCATCGGGGTTTTGGTCCGAACCGCGACCACGATGGCCCTTAGATGACACACCATAGTTAAACGCACGCATGAGCACATGCATGGCCCTATCCAGAGCGGAGGGTCCAAACCCGTGGGTTCTGGCTAGCCCACCGGTTCTGCGTCAGATTAAGCTTTAATAGTCTCGGGACTGAAGGCAAAAACATCAGTTACAAGATACAAGAAGAAGTCCCGGCTTCGGTGCAAATATTATACATATAAACTTTCCTCTTGAATCACTCTATCTAGTAAAAAAGAACGCATCAAGATCCGTTGCGTAGTTTTAAAGATCTTAGCAGTTAGCATATGGACAGACACACAGCGGGATGACTTTGTTTTATACTATGTAATGATGTACAGCAAAGAGACTTTTACATTTCAAGTCACATTTTACCACAGACAATTTAAATTTTGCCATACACAATTCGTTTTTCAGTAATGATCGTATAAATATAGAAAAATATTGACATTCATATTTATACGATACTGACGTCAATCAATTGTTTTGCCTTCCCGGATCCCCTCCACTAACACTCAAACTATATGATATGGTAATAAAGTTCAAATTGACTCTTTGTATTATTACGAATCTTTTGTATGGGAATATAGAAAAGTGATGTTTTTAGACTTTTTCAGGCATTTTTTTAAAATTTTTCTTTCCCTAAGAACCATCTTCGTACTTGTTTATATGTGAAAAATTGCCAAACGAGCAGACGGCTCACCTGATGGTAAATGAATACCGCCGCCCATGGACATCCGCCACACCCGAGGGTTGCAGATGCGTTGACAACCTTTTGAAAATTGGGCTCCGGCTACCTCACTCACCAGACGAAACGCGAAAGTATTTGTCATACTTCCACTTTACGCTGGTCTTCTGTGAGGTCGTGGTACTTACCCGGACGGGCCTGCACGTTCGTGCAACAGCCGAGGCTGCCGCGTGGCCCTACCACCGTAACAACTACAAGGAAAATTATAAAAAATGAATTAGCCAAATCGTTTCAGCTGTTCACGAGATTTGCGCTTAGCACACATTCAGCGATTCATTTTTATATATAGATGACATCTTAAAACGGACAGGTTGCACCACAGTGACACATTTACATAAATTACAACGCGTAAAAACATGCTTCTAAATGCGCATACCTTTGCACGTAAAAGTATTTCTATTTTTAAATGTTTTCATCGCGATTCATAGTAAAAAAACAAGGCTAAGACAATATCGATTAACTACATCAATAGATGGCGCGCACAGCTAAATAAATACCTAAGGTCACGAGTTATAGTAAAGCTGCCAATAGATGACGCTGAAATCAATAAAATTATCGATGAATTAAAGTGAAGTTATGTATGGAGTCCACGTGCCTGCTGCTGGATAAAGTCATCCTCTGTAGGCAAAGAGTACATTATTAGTATAGAGTCATCAGTCTCCTCGTGAGACAGCGCCATCTCTTGATGCGGGACTGAACTACAAGTTCAGATGTTTATAACCTATACTAATTAACCATTTTGTTTTTACAGTTGAGAGCTGTATTCAACTACAGTTTTCTGTATAGTGTATATGAAATTTATTTTATTTATATTTGATAACATTGTATAAAAAACTGTAATTGGATACAAGCTTGCTTGATGTTATTTTTGGATAAAGTAAATAAAATACAGAAATATGTTTTGCGAACTCTTTCGTTTTTTATAATATTCACTCGCTATTTTTTTTAATAATCTTTGTTATGAATGATTGCGAGTCTGGTGCCGTTTAGTAAATTATTTATGTTAAATTATTTTTTGTTATCCAAAATCAGTAAATTTCCTCCAATCGATTGAATCCATGTCTCATCTGTCACCATCATTTTCAGGTGAGGAAAAGAATGCAAATTTGCGTTGCAGTCTTTACTTGTAAATACAATATTAATTTTTTGCCGTAACGTATAACAAAATAAAATTATGAATAATGAAAGATAGCCGAATTAAATAAATGAATAATAACCGGCCGCAGTCAGTGCTACTAACTGTTGAAAAAAAAACTCCTAAAGAAATTCAAAAACCTCCTAATATCCAGTTTTCAAAAAAAACTTCCTACATGAAAAAAGTCACCTTTTTGTAAAATTATCTAACAAGCTAGAATAATTATCGGAAAATTTAATTATCTGGGTAATCAAAACTGTTTAATTTAAAAATTTACTTAATTAATTAACCTTGAACATTGTACATTGACTTGAAAAATATTTATACGAATTAAATACATTACATTGGGACGTTATAATCATTTTCATTATTTTTAAGAATCAGGCAATAAATAATGGGGCTAAGTACCATTTCACCTTTAACCTTTAAATTCCTTGTCTTTTTCCCACTTAGCTACATATTTTTGAACATATCCGATGGCAATTTTCTCACCATTTGGCATTTAATATTACTTATTAAATGAATTTATTATATTATGAGTAGCCGTATATTCACAATAAGAGTTTATGGCGGATCAATTTAAAATACTACATAGTGCAATGTTGCCAATACTATTACATTATATATTGTGTTTAAAATTGTGTCATTTAAAAAAAATGTAAATAATTTTTATTCCTAAAAAAATTCCCAAAAATTTTCTCCTAAAAAATTTCTATTGTAAATTTTTCTTCCTAAATTTAGAAAGAAAACTCACTTGGCATCCGTGCCGCAGTTACGTCGGTAACGTTCCGTTACGCTGTTTAAAATTACTTCCAGCATTTTGCTTAGTTGTTTTCTTTCAAATTAATATTTTTTGTTTAACAAAATACAATTTTCTCCAAAATAAGAACCATAAATATTTTTTTTATAAATTTATTTTAACTTAAAATAAAATTTTGTTTTTAATTTAATGGTACCATAATTAAAATGGTTTTTGCATTTAAAACAACGCCATCTGTTTTTGACGGATGGAACTAAACAGAATGAGCAAGCTCCATACAAATATCAAATGTATGGACTGAAAAGACCGTGTCTGTATGCGTCTACTGCGGATTCACGTATCTCACGTAGCTCTGAAATATATTTTTTTAAATATTATTACTATTTTTAAATGGAGAATTATTTTTCAAGAACGGGAGTCCGAGTGAACACCGGCTGTTTGGGTGCACGGATACCATAGTTTTGCATAACATGAAAAAATGTTTGTTTGTTGTTTGTTTAAAAAAATTTACGAGTTGTCGCCAGCGGTATGTCCAGACCGATACGACTTAGGGACCTTCAAGGAGAGAGCCTATTCCTACCTTAAAGGCCGGCAACGCAATTGCGACTCAACCGGTGTTGCAAATGTTCATGGGCGGCGTTGATCACTTATCATCAAGTGACCCGCATGCTCGTTCGCCTCCTTTTTCCATAAAAAAATAAAATAAAAAAAGGGGAAGTACTAAGGTCTTATAGACTACCGAAATGAAGTGGAAGTATTACACTTTTCATTTCGGCTGGTGAGTGGGGTAACTGGGACCTACTCTTGTGAAAGTTTGTTGCAACACGTCTGCAGCCTGCCAGTTATTGTGGTTCGATTGGCGACGGTAATCACTTGACATCAGATGTTCTGATCGCTTGATTGCCACTTTCTAACACAAAAAATAGTATAATGATACAAGAAATCTTAATTTTATAACTTGTACTCTTGTGAAAAACGTACAAAATTAACGATATAGGTATTATCCAACAAAAATGTTTTGTAGTCGTTAAAGGCGAGCTTCAAGGAGACCACAGGCTATAAAACATAGCATACAATCATATCTAAATAGAAAATGAAATTATAAATAACGAAACAGTTTTTTTTAATTTGATTAAATTATAAAGACTGAATAAAATTTAAACTAACTTTTATTCTTTAATTGTTTTATTTATTAATTAACAGTAGTCTTATGAAAAATTTTTCTTTGACAGTGTCGAATCTGCAACACGGGGGATGATGGTCGCTTACGAAGCGGGTGAGAGTGGTGACACTTGACTAGTAAGGAGATACATTAAAATTTTTTCTCTTTATTTTCGTTTACTTGACATTCGGCCTTATCAAAAATTGTGATATCTTAAGTTATTCAAGTCTTATCTATGAGTGATGTGTGTTTTCTTACTCTGTATTCGTGTAAATATATTTTTTTTATTATATTTGGTTTGTTTATTAAATTATTTTTTATATAATATATTGCTGTGTAGCAATAAGGTCGCCTTTTGATGACCAATATTTGATTAATATTTTGTTTTGTTTTGTACTTTTTTCTTTTTTGGTGTAAAATAAAGCAATAAAGCATATTATATTTACATATTTCAGTCGAAAAATCTTTTCATGTTATAACTTGTTGTATGATTAAAATCCGTGTGGAATAATTTAATAAACATTAAAACTTAACATGGCCGTGAAACGTTTCAGGAAATATATTTATAAATGGAAGGTTTCGTTTTTAGGCCCCGTTTTCATTCGACGTAATGCGTAAACCCTTCCTAACGGGCAAGGTTATGTCCACAGGAGGCTTATTAGCGGCTATTACCCACGTTGAGGCATTATCTGCTTTCTTTATTACGTCAATTATTCCTTTTACAGCTGACTCCACCCTGGAAATGACACAACGTAATCAATTAAAACTTTCGTCATTTAGAGGTTTCGCTTAATATCAGAAGAAACTTGATTAGTATCATATAGATCATTGAAATGTTGTGCGGGTGGGAAAAGCCTGCTGGAGATTTGTTTTGTTTTTGGACACAGCGCGCAGATTAAAATTACAGTGGATGCAGCTTCTGCTTCTTTCTGTATTCTGAAGCCGCTAGCTTGAGGGATAGTCGGTGTGAAAAAGATAAGAAAAAGACACGAAACTACATAACTCACAAGTAATCTTACACTCTGAACTATAAGTAAAAGAAACTAAGACACATTACAAAAATGTAAGTTACGTTGATGCCTCCCTCAACCGCAGGGCATTTTCTGCATTTTTCTAGAACAGAGGAATCACTCTCTATTATAGGAATTTTAATGAGTCGAAAGAATTTTATGTAAGTACGTGTCTCCGTGTATTATTTGTTTACCTTTGCCTTTCTGTGACACGTGAGGTCAAGGGTTGAGAACAGCCTTGTTCGAAAGCATCCGAAGTATATTTGATGAGAATAGCTGTATCGGTTGGGCCAAGGCACACTGTCAGAACACGAACTTGTGATTCCTTATAAGATTCATTTAACTGGAAAAAGAAACATTTTAAAAAATTAAACCAGCTGTTAAAAAGAAGCGCATGTATGTACACCTAATAGTTAAATAATTTTTCAACGCCTATATAACCTATATAAAAATAGCAGTAAATATTATATAAAGGTGTATTTTATTTTTCGTTTTCTGTTCTAATTGCGGTATGTTTAAAGAATAGTATATTGCATCGAATTTTTAATCTCATACTTTATGATTGGGATTGGTAAAGTTTACGTGTTTTAAAATATAAACTGACATTGTAAATATACTCACTGCTATACTATTGGTGAATTGTATTACAGCAGCCTTAGTCGCCGAATATACTGGCAAGTTTTTACTCGGCTTTAGGGCCAATAAAGAGGACACATTTAGAATGACACCACCGAAACCCCCCTTTCCCACTGCCATCGTATCTAATGCTGTCAATGTGATGTTGACTACCGCCGTCTGAAATTAAAACGAAATATAGCTGTGTACTCGTCTTTGTACTCTATTTTGTTGGACGAATCGGGTAGCTCATCCGAAGAATCATCCGCTCCCTTAACTATGGTAGGGCCTCGCAACAGTGTTCACTGTTGCACGAATGGGCAGGTCCGTCCGGGTAAGTACCATGATCTCACAGAAGACCGCCGTAAAGTAAAGTGTTACACTTCTGCGTTTCGTCTAGTGAGTCAGGTAGCCGGGTACCACGTTATTTAAAAGTTGGAACGTTGTTGCATATATGCATGGGCAGCGGTTATCACTTAACATCAAGTGCACCGCCAGCTCGTTTGCCACTTTAACAAATAAAAAAAGAAGTAACAAGATCTAACGAAATTTGGGTGTGATTTAGAAGTAATACGTTAGTGCATTACGTTTTAAATGCAATCACAGAGGCGTGCGAATTGTCCATGGGTGGTAATCTCTTGATATCAGCAAACCCCCGTGCGTGCTTCCATATTTCCTAAATAAAATTAAGGAAACTGGCCAAGTGCGGGTCAGGCTCGCGCACAAAGGGTTCTGTACCAATATTTAAAAAACGGCAAAAAATCATGTCTGTTATATGGGAGCCCCACTTAAACGATTAAAAAGAAAGATTTCTTATTCTGTTTTTTATTATTTGTTATTATAGCGGCAGCAGAAATATATCGTCTGTGAAAATTTCAACTGTCTAACTATTACGGTTCATGAGATACAGCCTGATGACGGAGACAGACAGTCAGCGGAGCCTTACTAATAGAGAGCCTATTTTACCCTTTGGGTACGGAATCCTAAAAGCAAACATCACGTTCCAAAACATTACGTTTTGGACTAAAATCAGCTATCATAAAAATTAATAGGAAAATTCACTGTTGCAAATCTGACCCCAGCCAATGAGCTATTATCGACTACAAACACAAGTGCATTTTTGTAATTAACATTTTAGTGATATGTAGTATATGTAACATATACTCACAAAGTTGATGTCGACCACCTTTTTGCGTAAACTCTCTTCACCGCTCAGAATTGCCGCGTTGTTTATAACCACATCAAGCCTGTGGAATTTGTCGGTTACTTTCTTGAATGCGGCACGGTAATCAGTTTCGTTGGAGACATCGCAATGTATGAACATAACCTTAAGGTTGCCGAATTTATTCATAAGCTCCCTTTCCAGCTGTTCGCCTTCGCGTTTCGCCACGTCGAGAAATGTGACATGCTGTAACACAAACCTATAGTTATTTCTATGTAACGTTTTATGATTGTGGTAGGGCTACGCAACAGCTTTGCACGTTGCACGGTAGGGCAGGCTCGTCCGGGGAAGCCCCGGTCTCGTAGAAGCGTGAAGTGGAAGTAGGTGTGTACTATTCTTTCGCGTTTCGTCTGGTGAGTGAGGTAACCGGGGCACACATTTTTTAAATATTGGCAATGCATCTGCAATCCGTCAAACAGGTGTTGTAGTTTCGAATGGCGGTGGGATTCACTTAAAATCAGGTGAACCGCCTGCTCGCATGCCAACTTTTATGATAAAAAAGATTACTGCGTGTTATCTTTAAAACTAAGTAAATGTAAAAAAAAATCTGTAAAATAATTTTATATTTATTAATGTATTAATTAACAATAAATCATTAAGGGTAGAAGTGGAAGAATATCCAAGACAAAGAATTGAACTGTCAAACACCCCTAACCAACCTTGGTCGACCTTCCACGAACTTACATGCTGTTTGTTTCAACGGCACCGTTTTTCGATCGTCTGATTATTGGAGACGAAAAATGGGGCCTATGTGATAATCCAAAACACAAAAGGCAATGGTTCTCTCCAAATTAATCACCACGTAGTACTGTGAAGCCGAGTATAAATCCCAAAAAGAAATATTTCCACATAGAAATGTATTTGCGGGTACAGACAAAACAGAGAGCTCGTAGAGTTCACTTCGCATTCTTCTTCTTCTAAATCGTTCCCTACTGCTGAGGATCGCATGAGATGGATCTCATCGGTCGAGTCTCATCGGTTTCACTCCGTCGTCGCCTGGTGGAGTAAGCGCTTAAGGCGATTCTAGGTTTTCAGAAATTTGATCCGCCCACCGTTCACGATTACGGCCAATTATTAAAGAAAAATTTGAAAATAGAAGACGGCTGGCAGTCCATAGAATCGAAATTATAAACTTATATAGATCTATTGTTAATCATTTGTTGTTAAAATATAGTTTATATTTAGTTACGTTTAAACGTCTACGTGTCAAGTACTTTACAGAATCAGAGGTCACGGGGGCCTAGATATAATTTTGTTTATCTGTGTGCAGTATTCACGTTTTTGTTTACAGAAGCTGTTATTGGGCAGACCATTACTGTAAAACGAACAAAATGAATATGTAAAATTTATTGTAAATCTATACGTATAATGTATATATTATAATATATATTTTAATATTTTTTATGTTTGTATATTATAAATGAGAAATGTTGTATATTAAGTTTTGCGGTACGTAATTCGTCGTTTTCAGGAAAATTAAAAAGGCCAGAAATAAATTTTGTTTACAAATGTAAATTAATGTGAAAAATGATAATTTGCTAATAATAACCAATATAAAACGATAAACTTCTTTACAATTACTATAAAATTTTAATTCCCATCATTCCCTTTTCCAAGTTACATGTCATCTTAATCGATAACCTTTTTAACAAAATAACAAAACCGACCTCAAATATAAGTTTTGTTTGAGTTTGTAACAATACCAATGGAATTAATTTACCACATTTGGTGCGAAACCGAAGCTAAAAGATTTTAAGTTCTGCGGTAAAAAATATGTATAAATAAAAATACAACCGAATCCTCCTCCTTTTTTTAAGTCGGTTTAAAATATTATTCACAAACAAGATTTTTTGTTAAATTTTATTTAATAGTAAATCTTGTTTTGTTTCTTCTTACGAAAATAGAATTACAATTTAAATATTTTTATTAAATCGTTATATTATACCGTAAAATTATTTTTGTTCGATAATAAAACACGATTATCTCAGTAGAGATAAATTTTGCACTTTTCGACAGGATAATAATAAGTAATTAAGTATAATTGTGTAACTTATGTAGTTAAATAATAAACGATAATACTAATTAATATAATAAGACTAGCTGTAGCCCGCGACTACGTCTACGTAGACGGGTGAAAATTTAGGGTTGTATGTATTTTTGTATGCTGTATCATAAAAAAATAGAAATTAAAAATTTTGTCTAAAAAAAAAAAAAAATTTGGGGTGGACTACCCCTAACATTTAGGGGGATGAAAAATAGATGTTGGCCGATTCTCATAGATACCGGATAAGCACAAAAAATTTCATCAAAATCGGTCAAGCCGTTTCGGAGGAGTATGGCAACGAAAACTGTGACACGAGAATTTTATATATTAGATAGTTCTAGGCTGCCTGAATAATATTTCTGAATATAAATTCACAAAGATATGTACAATTGTAAATACAATATATAAAAAAAAATGTGATTTATTTATGTTTTGGCATGTTTTCATAGCTCTTCTTCTTTGCATTTGGATTAATTCATAAAGTTACGTTACCTATGCTATAGTGAAAATACGAGCGTCAATTGAATATAGCAATATAGACTTTCACTCTGATTGTGTACCTAACGTTTTTTGCTAGATGACCTTACCCTTGCGTTTTGTGATAATATTCCGCGCACCAATCCAGCACCAATCCCTGCTGCACCGCCAGTCACTATCACAACTTTGTCTTCAAAAACAAACCGCCCCTCCATGTTATTGTCTAGAGCAATGTTTTATATCACCATCACCATATATTACCACTGTATTTTCGCTAGCTGAATACAAGTTTGCCAAATAACGCCGGGTACAGACTGATCATTGGTTACACTTTGAATACTAATATTACACAAGTTATTACTTGCGTCCGTTATCTGCATGATAAGATATAATTCGTGGTCAATTTATACGATTTCGTTACTTTGGCCCGATAAATATTATTGTTAATGACAGAAACAATTTATGTGCAGATAGCGTTATGCTGTGGTTTATAATTTAGATATACAAAAGTAAATATTATATATACCCATAAAAAATTGTATAGACAATATGTTATTAGGTATTGGTGATGAACTTTGGTCAATTTTCTGAAAGATTGAATGGAGTGAGACTTTTAGTCATGATTTTTATCAATTTATGGAGTTATTAGTTTTCTTCTCAACGGCTGTTTCGTTTTGCTGCCCGTTTCACTTGCTAGAACTGTTCTAGTAGAACATTCTCGTCTTTGAACATGTTGTTTCATCTAAGCTTTATTTTGTATTTTTGTAAATCTCGTCACTCATAAACTTCGCTTTCGGTGTCAACTTCATACTTATGAACTACAACTATATGCTCAGGGAATGACTGATAACCTCTCAGAAGTCATGTCTAAGATTAACATGGACTAGCAGCTAAATAGTATTAATTTCAACTGTGCGTTTCGTCTTGTGATGGAGGTAGCCGGGGCTAACTTAATTACAACGTGGCAATGCATCTGCAATATTATTTAATATTTAAGATAACAAGATAACAAGGTGAACTTCTTATCTTAACTATAAAATAACGTAGATATTCATATTTAAAAAAAATATTATATGCACATACATAATACGCATATTGGTACGGTGAGATCAAATTCTGTGCCTGCATCAATGAAGTTGTTAATTTTAAATATTGAGTTATCACGTGCTCATTTTCGAAATAGCAAAAAAATATTTCGAAGGTAAGTGAAGCCCCGCCAATCCGCAGTAGTAGAATATGCCGCGTGGAATATGCGCTAATACTCTGTTCAGAGGCCTTTGCTCAGCAGTGGGACATATACAGCGTGTCGTTACCATCGCGACAATAAATGAACACACGTCTAACGCTACTTGCCAATAATCATAAAAAAATATTAACGTTAAACAAAATCCATAATTAAAAAAAATATTTTTCAAACAAAGTAATTAAGTAAAAAAGAAACAAAATTTGTAACATCCTATACAACTTGCGCCACAGCGTCGTAATATTATATTTATAGGTAAGGGTGTTCTAAAATTCTTTGTTTTGGAAAATTTAATAACTCTGTAAATATTGATGTTTAAAGAATTTAAATGTTTAATACAACTTTAAAAACTATTATATTTGTGTGTTCATTTATTGTCGCGATGGTAACGATACGCTGTATATGGGCTGTTACTTAACTTTACAACTGGGAAAAAGCTTAAAATGATACATTTGGAAAGCTGGTTCATGAACTGAACGGACGATGACTGATGGACTTACGGTGGTAGGGCCACGCAGCAGCCTCGGCTGTTGCGCGAATGGGCAGACCCGTCCGGGTGTGTACCACGACCTCACAGAAGATCAGCGTAAAGTGGAAGTATGACAAATACTTTCGCGTTTCGTCTGGTGAGTGAGGTAGCCGGAGCCCAATTTTCAAAAGGTTATCATCGCATCTGTAATCCTCGGGTGTGGCAGATATCCATGGCCGGCGGTATTCACTTAACATCAGGTGAACCGTCTGCTCGTCTAAAATCTTTTGGCATACAAAAACAAAAAAAAACGATTTTCTCGCTAGCCCGCAACTGGCACGTTTATTTCAACATCAGCACAGTTTAAAGTCGGAGTTCTGATTGCGTCGTTTGTTGCCGTTTCGTTTTGGCCGGTGCAGTAGAAATTTATCAGCGTTCGCCCTAGTCCACGTTTAAGTGTGTTTTGGCACCGGAAAATACGCAGCAGCAAATTCTCATGACTATGACTTCCCGAGAAGCGCTAACTATAGCGACAATTTAAGTTGAACGGTTACGAGAGCTCAAACACAGAAAAGAGAGATACAATTATGTTTGTACATACTGTCTACTCATTAAATAAGAGAGAGTTCGTGGTGCGTGGCCGCTGATTAAATTATTTTAATTATAATCGTTCCATACCTGTTTCTTATACATTGAGGAGATAATGAAAAACATAAACATTTCGTTTTCAGGTTAGATAACAGAATTATTAATGTCCTTTTTGAAGAACTATGAATAATCGAATCACCTAACTTATTACCTTTAAGTTTTTTTACCATGTTTGGTCCCAAAAATTATTTCTTTTTGTAAATAAATACATATTATGCATATATAAACACCCAGACACTGGAAAAACACGATGTTCATCAAACAATATATTTCCAATACTGGGGATCGAACCCACACCCTCTGGCGCAGGAGGCAGTGTCATTGCGTTTTAAAAGGGGTAGGCCTTGTGGCAATGTGAAATATCTTCGTCGCTTATGTAAAAAACTAAAGGCTCTCTAGCTTTGGTTGCATACACCAATTCTTTAAGTAAAGCAAGATTTCTGAAATTTGATAACAGTACTTCTTTAATCTTTACATTTCACCAGGGATTGCTACACACTTCAACAATTAATTAGAATTGTTACAAGTATTATCAAAATCAGTGCAGTGCTCTGTTCGTCTAACACTCTGCCAAATTCCATATTTCTCAGTTAGTATTCAATATATTGGCTAAGGAGAAGAGCGTTAATTTCAAGGTTCATCATCTCGCGTGGTGGCGATACCAACTGGTTATAGATATTGTGTGACGAAAGGTTACTTTTTGAGGGGACAGGTGCAATCTCGGGTTGAGGAGTTGGAGATGCGCTTCCAGCTATTTAAAAAGTGGGCCCTGGTTATTTCCCTCTCCAAATGAAACGCGAAAGCATATTGCATCTACTTCACGACGGTCTTCTGTGTGGACGTGGTACTTCCCCCGACGAGCCAGGCTATTCGTGCAATGTCGCCCTAAATTTTTTTTTATGTGATAAAGTCGCAAACGAGCTGGCGATTCACCTGATGTTAAGTGATAACGCCGCCCATGGAACTTTGCAACACCCGTAGGGTTGCAGAAGCGTTGCCACCTGTAAATAAATTGGGTCCCGGCTACCTCACTTACCAGACGAAACGCAGAAATGTAAACACGTCTACTTTACGCCAGTCTTCTGTGAGGTCGTGTTACTTACCCGGACGGACCTGCTCATTCGTGCAACAGTGAACACCATTGCTTGGCCCTACCACAGAAAAATTTTTGGTTATTTTGACCAAAATCTTTCTGTTGTCATCAAATTTTCTTTAGAATAAAAAACAATGGTAACATCACTTAAGTACCTTTTCAATTTTATCTCAAAGTTCGAGCCAGCTTTATAAAACCGCTGTAGTTTACAACCCACGACATCGAGTAGCCAGTTGATTTCAATCCTCGTTGTGGCTTCAGACTGTAAATTAAGATTTAAAAACAATGTAATAGAAATAGTAGAAAATTTAGAGATACCTCAGCAATATTATTCCCACTGGCCCACATCTACTTTTGTGCTGTGTATTTTTCGTTTTTTTTTTAATTTTATGAAATTTTAACACAATATATCTCTATTTGAATAATCTACAATGGACTTCGTTATTTTAAATATGTATTAGTGATATAGTATTTTGTTATTTTAATATGCGCCTATTAAACGATATGAGAAAACTTACATAAGGAAAACTATATTTGAAAATGTGAAAGACTCTGTGCAAAACTACGCTCTAAAATCCTGAGGTCGACTTGTATTCTGAAACATAATATTTTAAACAAAACTTCAGAGGCATTTTTTTAAGTTTTAATTAAACATTTCTGGAGTTGATAATTTGTTTCTCAAATATGAGGTGGGACTTACTTAATACTTGAGTATTCATGAAATATGAAACTGGAAGAATTTTTACTCGTATATTGTATGTATATTTCTTTCATCTGAAAAGACGTCATTGGTACTAAATAAAAGCGGTGCAGATATTGTTACAATTGCTTTCAAATTAAGCCGCTTCTTTACCCGTCTCTTAATTTGGTTTGCGTTGTCACTCCTTATCACGTTTGTTTTAGGGATTGTTTCATTTTCAATTGCGATCTGTGCAATATTTTTGCTCTTTATAATTGTAATTTTGTATTATTGTTGTTGTACATTGAAATGTTTGAAAAAAATAGTAATGTCTCTTTTATTATCCGCCATAGTACCGGTCGGTCCATTCCAGTCCTATGAACGTTTATTGTTTGGGCAATCAACGTAAAAGCTTTCTTCCCATAGAAACGTATGTCGACGTAAAAAGCGTACTTAGTGTCAAGATGTAAACTAGGTTTTTTTTTAAATCTATTTTGGGTAAAGTTATTTATTAATCTAGTACCTCAGTGGTTAAATGATAGGTTATTATTATAAGATAGTTTTGTCACTAGATAGTTAGTGGAAAAACGGAAACTTAAAAAAAATGTTAGATTTTTCTATTACGTCATTAGTTGGATCACCATAGTTTTCTATCGAGTTCAATAGTGTATTTTTTTGCTTCCAAAATGTAGTTTCGTTTTTCAAACGAACTACTACAAGTCAGGTTTCTTGAAGCTTACAGTTTAAGTTTACCCAAATTCTATAAAAATAACTCTTTACGGTGTACTTTCGAGATATGGGTTATATTTTACGGTGGTAGGGCCACGCAACAGCCTCGGCTGTTGCACGAATGGGCAGGCCCGTCCGGGTAAGTACCACGACCTCACAGAAGACCAGCGTAAAGTGGAAGTATGACAAATACTTTCGCGTTTCGTCTGGTGAGTGAGGTAGCCGGAGCCCAATTTTCAAAAGGTTGTCAACGCATCTGTAACCCTCGGGTGTGGCAGATGTCCATGGGCGGCGGTATTCACTTACCATCAGGTGAACCGACTGCTCGTTTGGCAACTTTTCACATAAAAAAAA